TGTGTGTGTGTGTGTGTGCGTGTGTGTGTGTGTGCGTGTGCGTGTGTGTGCGTGTGCGTGTGAGGTTGCATGCGTGTGTGAACTCGCGCGAGTGTGTGTGTGTGTGTTCGTGAGGTGCGTGCCTGGACATCAGAAATACAGGATTGTGATAAGCTTCATTCTTTTCAGGAAGGGATATGATTCAGAAATTAGTCAACTCTCTCGAAGGATATACAGTATTAGCAATGAACTGTCCACACCCACACGAATTGAGACACTATGAAGTGGGTATGAACAGAAGCAGTACCAAGTTGGGTCGTAGTTCACGGGAGTCAGTACATTTATGGTCACAATGGTATATTTTAATGGTGGCATTGGCATATTTAGGACATTTCGCATGAAGTAGATAGTTTATTGTAAATTTAAGCAAAAGAGAAGAGCCGAAGAGGATGGTTGGTGTGAGCTCTAATTTGGTTTGCTCTTTCTTTCCTATCAGAAATATATCGTCCTTATTTCTCCACCTCTTTTTTCTATTTTGGTTCATCTCTTGTGGCACCTCTAATAGTCGCCACTTATTTCCCCTAATTGCGTTGAAGGTGTCGTAAAACTCTTGCTAAAACATACCCCCCCCCCCCCAGAAAAACAGACACAAAAAGTGCCCACTATTTTTTAAATAGGCAAGAGAACAAAACAACAGCAGTAACAATAGACGCACAGACGTTCGCCAAACCAGAAGCGCCCTCCATACTCATGTACGACCGACGATAATATATAGATATCTAAGCACCCCCGCTTCAATTGGGCGGGAGGAGGATGGGAGGGGCTGCCAAAAGCAGATCACTAACCACTAAATACGCGTCGAGACAGAAAAAAGCCGGGTGGGGAGGGGGGGAGGAGGGGGGGTGAGGAAAGAAAAGAGAATGAAGAAAATAACAGTGGGTATGTGAGTGCGAAAGGGGGGGGGGCAGGCAGAGGGATGGAATGAATATAAGGGAAGAATCAATATTGGGAGAGAAGAGAGGCCTTGAGAGATCGATGGCGAACAAACGCACACGCTCTACAGCGATGGGGAATAACACCATAATACGTGCATCTCTCTCTCTC